TAACGTCCATTTCCTGGCTCGTGAACTCGTGTGCGGACGCGCATTTCGTGGTTTTCAACTTTGTTTCTTCCGCGACATTTAACTTCATTTTCAAAGTGGTCCCACGGAGTTTTTTAATAAACCGCGATTTTTCATTCTCGGTGCGTCCGTGCGTAAGCGTCACTTCCACACTGAACGTGGCATCTCCCAAAATGGTGGCATATATATACAACCCACATTACATTTAACCGAATATTTTCTGATTACACTCAGTGTTTAAAAGGGGGACACATTTCACCACTTCCCAAAGAGTGAGACAAGCAAAAGGAAACGAAAAGAAGAGGCATCAAGAGCATAATGATGAAATGGTACAACGAGAAAAAGGAGAGGAAAAAATAAGAACGTTGTTGAAAATCGCCGACTATGAGAAGAACTGAGCACTGAAAACTGAAAGGAACAGCAGCGGACGATTTCAGATTTAATCTGCGGCCACAAACCGGATTCTGCTTTAATTGCAAAAGACGCGAGCGGTGCCGCGGTGCACCACCACCTTAAGCGGGCTCGCGAAGAGATGTAAAAGATGGCCGGATCAGATTGTCTACGAGTTGTCTGCACGCTTGAAATATTCCTGCCGAAGAGCGCGGTAAATCCGGGCACTTTTTCTACTCGAGTAAAACAAATAATACAAAAATGGCGGTTGCAAGTTCTTAGAGATTTTCACTTAGAGATGAATAGAAAATGCATTCCGGTTGCGTAAACATTAAGAATCAAGCAAAACTTTCCGGAAAACGTCGGAAATTACAACTGAGAACAAAAAGCAAGTTTTAAACACTGTAAAAAAACAAATTATAAATTAATTCATTCGCAATTGAGCGTAAAATCTACAAATAATAGCTACAGCATACATAACCACAGTTTGGGTGGTATGTTGGGCTGCATATGTTAAAATGTTTGAGTGTGACTTGAAACGTGTTCGAATGAGTTTGTTTCGAAAAACTAACAACTTTCTTCGGACACCCCTTTACAGCACCCAAGAAAACTCGCAAAGCCCCGAGCTTTTAACTTTTTTAAGCTCGTTGTTTTCAGTTGTTTCCAGGTCTTACCGAATCGCAGTGAAACAACAAACCGTCAACGCGTTCCACAATTCTACACCCTTGTGGAATTACCCGTCGCGCCACAAAGTCTGCTTTGTTTAGCTGGTGAGTTTTTTCCACGCTAAAAAAATAAAAGAAATAGTGTAATTGTTCGAAAAGTTACAGCGCCGTACAAAAGTCACGCTTTGACGGCATCCATCCAATCAAACAAAACTAATGTAACAAAATACTATAGTAGTTATTTTCGGTTAAACCGAAACGTGACATTTTGAGTTTGCAAGGCGTTGTCTTGCATTACCTCATGCCAGATTGAGTTTATTCTGTTTACACGGTGCTTAGTGATGCTTCGAGGGGGTTTGGTGCACGCGTCGCGACCCAGATTCAAGCATTATGCACGTTTGACTACGCAACTCGACGGTAATATTCTACAAATGGAGACATCCACCCTCCAAAAGCCAAAAATCCACAGCATTAAAATCGCAATTTTAGTGGACCTTTTAAACCAAAAAGATAATTTAACATCGGGGCGAAGAGTATGAAAAAAATTCTTTAATGAGTTTTGGATTTTCATAACTTTTAACGAGCTTTAAAATGCGCAGCCGCTGATATCGCCCGCCTCGACACGACAAAGTGAGCTTGTCTGCATCAAAGAGGATCACGGAATTTGTCTGAAGAACCATGGCGCAAACAACCTCTCACCCCCTCAAAAAAATGAAGAGAAAAAAGAAACATAGCTAAAAGTAGAAAATTGTTTATCCGTTGCTTTGGCCGTGCATTCGAAGACAAAACTCGCGAAACTTTCGTAATTATTTTTAATTACTCGTAAATTAACGCACGCGTTACTATAGCCGAAGAGAGTGGAGCACAGAAGAGGGCGCTGGAGTTTGGTGAGAGCTTTTTCACGTCGACTACACTCGACGGCTTTCATTAGTGATGCAATTATTTTCTTATAACGTTATTTAAATTAATTTTTTTACAATCATTACAGAATTACTATTTTAACCCAGGCGCTTTAAATACTCTCCGGTGACGTCCCCAGAGAAAGCATTCTACATCCGCGTGTGCGTTTGCATTTCCGCATAACTAATGCACGTCATGTCCGCTTATTATCCTTTAAAGCGAACTCGTGTTCCACGCGCTGAACAATTCGAGCGGATGCAGGTGAGTCCCGATAGCGGAGAGCTCAAGATCGTCCTCGTGTAACACAGGCAACCCAACGTGCTTTCACTCGAACGTCAACAAACCGGAGAACTGGCTCGTTATATTCAACTCGGTTATAGTGCTTGTTTGTTTATATTAATTAAGTGACAACTTGGATTATGCAATGCAACATCAATCACATCCGCCACTCGTGTGGCTAAGTGCTTACATATAGGTACCAGTAAAACCTAGGCAACCCAAATTGCATAACTGACATTTTAAAGTCTTTTGATGGTTAGGTACGGAGCAATTCGAAATGATTTATTTTGTCTTTTGTAATTTTGAGGGTTAATTTTCCACCCTTCGATGATTAGTAATAACTGGTTTGTGAACCCTTCTGGTAACGCCCGTGTGATTTATTCTAAACTTTTTATCGCTTCGTTCGCGGATGGTAATTGAATCAAATGGGGAATCGCTATCGATTATTAATGGTTTTAATTAATTTACACCCCTTCTCGTGCTCGGGGGTAATATCGTCGTCGGCGCTTATTAAAACCATTTTTCTTCCTCGCTAATTTTTACGACTTTTTTGCTTGCCGTTCAAAATTCTTCTCAACAGATTGAAAACACTTTGTATTAAAATTGAGATGAAGACATTAACATGTGTATTGTGTGTGCGGTAGAATTTGGCATGCACACAAATCATAAATATAAATTCCCTTAATTATTAAAATAAATGGCGCTGAACCGAAGCAAGACGAATGCTCACATCGCCCACCATCGTTCTGATAGCAGCGCCCATCCGCACCCAATACTGGGGGTTGGGGTGCGGCTCGGCGTTTGCCATCGGCGGGCGAAAATTGATAACGAAGCAATAATGCCGCGGGTGAACCGAACAGATTTGGGGAACGTAATTCGAAATAACGGCGTAATGAATATCACATACACATACACCAACTCACAGCTAGAAGCAATCCATATCAAAATTTTGCAATAAATATATGCCCACGTCTCATATGAGAAATGTGCGTGGGTGCGTGGATTATTACTTTGAACTACACAGCAACGGAAGATATAAGATTTAATTGACAATATGGGAGTGCCGAAGCGTGTAAGAACTTAAATATCTATTTGAACACATGAACACAAAGTTTCAAAAACTAAAAATTTAAAAATAAAAATTAAATTTTTGAATTTTCTTATAAAATTAGCTTGTTTGCGAAAAAATGTCAAAGATTCTATCAATATAATGTAAAATCATTGCTTTTAAAGGTTTTTATTGATAAAAATCACCTTTGTCAAGTTTATCCATGAATAAAAATGCAAATTGTAAAGGTAGCTAGCATTACTTATTCTTGCTCGCTCCACTTTGTTGCTTTCATGTTGAGCGCTCATAATTGAAAAGTATTTATGAGCAACAACCCCGTTTTGTTTTTTCTTTATCTCGATGTGCACCCGCGAAGTCGTTCAATATTTCCGCATGAATGCTAGTTAGCGCCGAACAAAAAAAGAACAGAACACACAAACAACAACTCAACAATCGTAGAATGCAACACAATAGCCGTAAGAACGATATAAGTAACTACGGGAAATGAATAAATATAAATATTCTTTATGCGAATGTCTTGGCGCGTACAAAGTGGCCTGTATAATTTATACCAGGTAGTTATTCTTCGCGCGCCGTTTGGTGTTTCCTACTTTTTACACCTTCGCGAAGCCATCACTTAGTCCCGGATGTTGGTGCTTGCGTCGCTTTTTATTTGCGCACAGCGTGCTTACTTCTTATTACGTGTTGCATCACCCACACTGCCAGCGCTGTAAGAGTGTAGACATGTTAGAACATATTGCTTATGAGTTGGTGCCGCAAGCAAAACACACGAAATGATAATAACCATGATAATGGCGGGTATGGCGGCCTGGAAATTATTCCACGGTGTTTCTAATAACACAGGCACGCAACAATTTGCGCGCAAATTATTTCTCGCTTGTGTCGTTTGCGGGAGCGCAAGAAAAACGTGTGTTTTTCATGTCGGCGCCTTGTTTATTTAGGTTTACACCACTTAAATTGAACCCCGAAAGAGAACGCAAAGAATTGAAGTACAGCGAAGAAATAACAGGTGAGAAACCGGGCTAATTTAACAAGGTGTCATTAATTTGTTTGTGTTTAATTTCAGCGAATAAATGAATTCATTTTCTTTTCAGAAAAAAATGTATTCATTTATTTAAAAATGTATCTAATGTGGTTTGAATTGAATTGAATTTAAAAATGCGGCAATAAAAGTTGCCTACATTACAAGCACAATGTATAGAAAGCGTTTTAGTCGCATTTAAAGACCTAAAATGTTCGTCAAAGAGCTGGTTTCGGCCGAGTGTTTAACCGTTTAGTTTAAATCCGACAAACATTTCTATCTCCTCCATTCTGTTTAATTTTCCTTCATTTCCCGCTCGACAGGTTCAGTTTTAGTTTCAAACGTTTGCGTCGCCAGTAAAGTTTATCTACGCCTAAAACTAGAAAGTAAACTAAACCAATGAATATGAAAATATGTCGTTCGCACCTACAATCAGATTAATTTAACACGTTCAGTTGTAATGCTGTAAAATAAATACGGCAACCTTAAATTTAATATTACGTTGATTTTAAAAAATATAATGTAAGTATTTTTATGCTGACCTCGAGTATATTCTTTATGTTTAGTTCGATTGACATTTAAACGACCCTTATATTTGTTGTTATTCGTCTGCGTCGCATTCCTGCGCACTTATCTTAGTTCGCTGGCCGTGCGCACGATTGATTCGACACCGCTGCGTGCAGTTTTTCGTCAGCGGTTGCAAGTTGTGCTGTGTTTGTGTTTACCTGCTGCTGCAATCCCAGAAACTACAAATTGAAAAGAAGTCAACTACGTTTACTTGCTAAAGGTATGTAAATCATTCTTATTCTTACGAGAACACTGGTGCGGTGATGGGTTTATTCTCGTTCGCGTATCTTTTGTCTTGTTCTTTTTGAGGTTAGAAAAGCATATTCCGGTTAGCGCGCGAAATCGAAGAAGAAAGTGTGTGTTACTATGTTGCCGGTGCTTTTAAATTAGGATTTCTGTGTGTAAAATGAAATTCGGGATCTAACTGAAAGGATATGCGATATGTGTCGGTGGTTTCACATTCGCACAGCCACTTTAACAGAAACACCGCATAGTGAAACCGAAACCGGTAAACTGCAAAACTGCGAAACATTGCAAGCGTAATGTAGTTAATGTAATTTTCATGTCGGTAACACGCTGATTTCTCGGAAATAAGTTTATTGAAGTGTTTTAATTTTAGCGCTGAATATTTAATTACTCGATTCATTAAGTTTGATTACGAATCTGCTGAGTTGAGGTTATTGATTAATTTATTCAGCAAATTTAATGTTTAATTTGCACAAATTAAAATTTGTATATCTCCTATGGTGGATATGTTTTAGTTGAATTATAGTTTGGTTGAATTCCATCCTAAAATAACAACAACGGTTCTAGAACAACCTTCCTTCTTGCTTTTGGCCTGGAAAAGCCCGAAAATCGCATAATGAATTTCTTATCTCTGCGCAATGCTGGCCGGCTCCTCGGAGACGGCACGAGCGTCCCCAATATGCTAAATTGAGGTCGCGAGAACGCGGAGCTAACCGATTGCCCCACGAAATTAGCCATTTCGGATGGAAATCTTGTCCGAATACTCGTCCAAACTTTCGCCCGACAATATGCGATTGTCTAAGTTTCGATACGCGCGCGCCCCCCGAAAGCCAATAATTAAATACAATCAAGTAAAATCAAGCGGCACTAACGGCGGCAATGGAAATCCGAGACCGCATTACAGCGGCTAGAAATAATTGGGAAGCCGTGGAATATGGCAACGGCAAACCGGAAGATGCCTGCGCACAAAACTTTGTTTTTGGAAATTGGATCAAATATCCACAAAGAGAGTTTGACACAGATTAATCTCATATTTTTTTGTGCAAAACACAAACACATTTTTATGAAATTAGTATCAAATATTGAGATTATATTATTTTGTCATAAATTAATTCAATTTGAGTAAATTTTTATGCTCTGCTTCAGCGATTGCTTTTGTATAATAATATCTAAAGTGTTATCATTGCCCATGAGGTATAATACGTTTTTCATCAAAAGAATAAAGAGCAGCGACAAAAAAGCGCGCCACAAAGGGCGAGCGGTATTTTTTGCGACCGGATGTTGTCTGCGCTCCGAAAAACTTTATCATTTATTGTCGCGTGTAGGACAACGCCGCCTTCGTCGCGCCGCCACCGAATGACGAAGCTTCAAGATTAATTATTTCAACGGGCAGTTTTTTTCTTATTGGACACCGCTGTCGTCTCGGCGCCCGTTTGTGTTCGCAATAAAAATAACACGTTAGCGCCCTAGATGTTTATCTTTATGTTTTTTTCTTCACGGAGAATTTACGCATTGTTAGTTTCACATTTCATATTTCATGTTTTTTTATTTTTGAGCTTTTGAGATTGTTACCAAAATAACAAGAATAAGCCAAGGACATGCATGTAAACATGTAATCAAAATAACATTACGAGTTTTTGATAAAATTAATGGAAATTTAAATTGGATTCCAAAAAAGCGCTAGCGCAACAACTTTTGCAAATGTTTTTTGCGCTTGGAATTTTCGGATATGTTTACTTTATACAACAACAATAAGAAAAGCTCATAGAGTAAAGTCAAGCATCAAGGATGCGACATCCTTTGCCAACAATTCCGTCTATTGCATTCTATTCGATTATATTCCGGGACGAAATGGGCATTCGGCACTTGTGCGCGGCTTTGCAAATCACAAACAGGAATGTCGCAGTACAAATATTGAAAGATTGCATATTGCAAAGCCTTTGAAGGACTTCAATCTCCGCGAAAACTCAATATCGTCATGTTTGACACAAAAAATACTAACGAAGTATACTTATTTCAGTTTGAAGTTGTTTATCAGACGTGATGTGTTCATTCAGTACCTGAAACAAAACAAAAACAACATTAGTACATTTTAAATTCCATATTTTATTGTTTAAAGTTAATTTCTTTTGTGTTTCACTTGAACTCTTTACATTCTCGTGCATTTTTCATCGTGTACTTTTAAAAATGTCTTCCCGCTCATGGCAAAAATATTTTTTATCATCCAAATCCGAATTAAATTATTCATTCCTGACGTGTTTGTGCATTTGTATCCGTCGTAATTTTTCTCCCGCATTTTATCCCCCACTTCCGCGTTTCCGCATTTCCGCTTTTTCCGTTCGCCTTCAAAAAACGAAGACCCATTCGTAGGTTTTACACCGCCGCGGCGTTTTTGTATTCGTATCTATACTCGAATTTGTCTCCTTTTCCAAGTGTCCACATGTGTGTGTTTGTTTTCCGTAGACGGGTGTGATTGTATGAGTATTCGCATTCGCAATTTGTTTGGCGTGAGCGCACAGCGTTCCCCGCATACTTTTCATTCAATTTCAATTTCATTCAAACAATGTCCTGGGCGCGCGGCGTCGCGACGCGTCGTTCAAACAAATCGCGCGTGTTTGCGATGTCGGCGAAGGCTAATTCGAGCACACACATACGCGCCCCCTGTACCCATCCTTGTGCCCATACCGTTGCCGCATCAGACGAGAGTTTAATAAGCGTCGAAATTCGCTATTCGATTCGAATTACCTTCACACGACTGTTCGCACACATGTAGGTACACAGTGGTACGATAACCAAAGGCATGCTTATGTGCGCACGCGCCGCCTACAGATAGGCAACCCAAATTACACATCAAGTGCAATTCGAGCGTTTGTGTGCGGAATTGCAACCGAGTTGCTATCGTGCGGATGCAGATATCGGGGATATTGAGAACATGAGGATTTTGTGGGTCGGGGGACGCATCGAATTAATAGAAAGCGCAAATAGTAGAATGGGGTACCGGGCGGGAAACGCCCACAGACAAACAAACAATCAAACAATTTCCTATACACACAATGTTACGAATGATGATGTTACATTTGGAATTATGTTTAAAGCTAAGAGTAGCATTAGTGACATAACCTCAAATTAAAAAATCTGTTTGCATTAGATGCACATGGTAATGGAATGATAATAATCAATAAGCCCAATTGCCAATTGCAGAATTTATGCAATTTGTGTAATTAATATGTTGTAATCGCACACGTTGGTGAACTGCATGTCAATGTCAATAACACGTCACACCGCATTCTAATTTTAGTTCACCACTCACTCCATTACTCGCAATTCCCATCCTCTATTCAACCTCAAACTCGGGCGCGAGAGGCTTAAAATTCCAAATTGCAAATTGTGCGTTGTGTTTGCATTTTTAATGGCGCTTTCTGCGGTCACGCGCGCAACCACTGACGTACTCTACGCCACTCCACACAACAGCCCGAGGGGATGTATGTTTAATTGTTTTAATTAAAATCTGATTGAAAAGTTTGCAATTAACGCACTTGTTGCATTTCGGTGCGCAATTTATTATTTCCCAAGAGTGTTTACCGATTCTACACGTCAAACATGTACACTGCAGATAACCTAAAAGTTAAAAACAAAACAAACTATTTAATGGTGTGATTTATGTTGTTCGCGGATTGTATACAACATTGATTTAATGATGTAAAATACTTATCACAAATGCACTAAAATCACTTGTCAACGTTCCACCACGTTCCGCACACACAGTCTCGGTATTCATTCGGCGTCGTAACGTATGTGATTATAGTTGACGACGGTCATTATCAATTGTCCGCACGCGTTGGACGTGATGGCAGTATTTTACGAGCACGTCGGGGATTCGGGGCCGCCGGTCAGACTTACCACAACTGCACGTGGTTGGTGTCGAACAACCATTTTTATAGGATAGGTTAGGTTATGTTATGTTTGAGGTTATGATGGTTATATTTAGCGCGCAAAAGGAGCGCAGGTGTGTTGACTGTCACTGCAACGAGGAAGTTAACAGCTTACCTGTTAAATTCTCCAAATGTGATTAATAATTAAATCGCATTACTTTCGGCTTAGCTGCGCGCATTGCACGCAACACACAGTGCGTTAATATTTAATCGTATCTAACCTAACAATTCCTTTGCGTGGCTAAACGTAGTGAGTTTATTTCGTTTTGTGTATTGTATTGTGTTTGTTTAGACCAAAAGTTTTAACTGTGGTGAGATTGACTGAGAAATTTGTTGTGTATTACCATATCTGCTGTTCCTACCCAGATTGTATTCCGCGACGGCTGTTCTAATTAAATGCAGGTTAACAATGGTTCACCGCGCATGTACCCCCCGCATGTCCCTTTACGTCTAGCACATGGGGGATGTGGTGGTTGTTGAAGGGGATGAGAGGAGAGAGCATGTGCCGTGTGTCGCCGACAGTGTTTACACCGCACGTCGGCGCCACGGTATGAATGCCATGAATCGCACGAATTGGTGCGTTGGAGACAGCCTCAAAACCACCGCCACCCCGGCCCTTTCCCACACACATTGAAGTTCTTCGCTCTTCTCAAGCTGGCTGGCTGTTTGTTCTTCGTGGAATTCTCGACTCCTATGGGCTAACATAGGTGGCGCTCTAGTTGAATATATCAAATATGGAGGTTTTTAATTGTGGTTGTGCTAAAGGGAGACACTCTTATCTCCCACTTACTCATTTGGTCCTTGTTTGTGTTGTTGTTGAAACTTGTGTGTTGTAGAGTAGCGAAAAGAAAGGTTAGCTTGTTAGCGCCATATCGTCGGGTTGTGTGTGCACGGCGCGCGGAATGTTTTGAGGGTTAAAACGCTCCGTCGGCATTCCCCCTCCGCCCCGTTAGTAAATTAAGCATTTGCGGAATTAATTCTAGCTTGTTGGGTTTGTGTTGCGACCTCCATCTCCAAGGCCCTCTCGTATGCTTCTGTTTGA